TATATATATATATATATATATATATATATATATATACACACACACATGTATACAAAGTTTATTTTCAAAACGCCACATTAAAAAAGAAAATGAACTGACTGCCGTGTGTTATTCTCCACATATAGCATGTTCTGAACCCTAAACACATTTTGTCACAAAAGCATCGCAAATTCACATTTTACAGCAGAAACCGACAAGCGCCCTTGTTGTTTGTGAACAGAACCCGATATGTCCTTTTTAGCGAATCAGTGTACAGTATTGAGGTCAGATGACAAGGTTGTTAGTCACTTCAAAAAGACGCGCTAACTGAGAGGAGTTTTGTCAAAGCTAACTAAAAGTGATGGATAATTTCGATTAACTTGATGAACCCGTGATATCTTCAGGGCGTAAAAGGAAAATAAAAGCTGAAACTTTTTCACAGAACCTTGCTAAAGCCGCATTAACGATAGGGCTATGCGGGACTGAAGCCCCAGAGCAAGGAGGGGGCCTGTGATTGGCTGTGGAGTAGATTGACTGGCCATTGGCAGCGCCGATCGCCAAAGCCCCACCACGCCCCCCATTTATTAGCGCTATTATTTAGTAGAGCTTTTCCGTAAATTCCATGCATTACCATTAGCCTGTTGAAACGTCACCTTTGAATTTGGTTTAACAAAAAAATTCATTCATTCTGTGAATTAATTCTTTTACTTTTGAACGACCTGTACATGTACCTATCAGGTGATTGCTGTGCCTTACTCTTCACTTTGTTCTGGTTTAATCTGGAAATGGTCATGCAAAGAACAATCTTCCATAAGTACAAATGTCATCTATTCTAAAAAAAAAAAGTGAGATGGGGGCTATTCTAAAAAAAAGTGAAAACTTGAGTTTGTCAGTAAAATCCCCAGCTGTCAGGTTATTTTACTAAAATGATGATGGGGTGGAAGTGATGTAAGCTTATCATTTAAATGCATTTTAAGCATTGTGGTTTAACACCAAATCAGCTGAAACTGATTAACAACCCCCTCTGCTACTTAACTGACCAGATCAATATCCCAGGAGTTTAAAGGGGCCATATGATGCTGCTAAAAATAACATTATTTTGTGTATTTGGTGTAATGAAATGTGTTTATGCGGTTTAAGGTTAAAAAAATACATTATTTTCCACATACTGTACATTATTGTTTCTCCTCTATGCCCCGCCTTTCTGAAACGTGTCGATTTTTACAAAGCTCATCGGTCTGAAAAGCGAGGTGTGCTGTGATTGGCCAGCTATCCAGTGCGTTGTGATTGGCCGAATACCTCAAGTGTGTGACGGAAATGTTACACCCCTCACATACTCTTGATGCCGTGTCCAACATTAAAACCCATTACAAACGAGGCATTTGTTGCATCCAGTGGGGACATAATTACGGATTATAATGACTTATACTGTCTTTTTACGCGTTGCATCGCGCCGCGTAAACATAAAACCATGTCTGCATTAGTGATCGGAGAAATGACAAAAAACAAGCTCTACTCTACACTGCTCAAAACTCACGTTTGGACTCGCATTTTGGCAGCAACAATAAAGTTACTCCTTCTTTCTTTGCGTGAACATTTGGGCGGTGTTTTGCAAATCTTCCCAAACAGTGACGTAGACATGTGGGGGCGTGTTAGAACGAGCCGTTTTGGGAGGGTGTGGATGAGTCTTAACTTTTATAAAAAATATCTCTTTGGGTTTGAGACTTTAGTCTTTGCAACTTTAGGGATCTTATCTATTCACGAACAGCTTGTAACAAGAAATTAAAACTTGAAATTGCATCATATGACCCCTTTAATTGACTTGATGCTATACTCTGATTAAAAAGTGAAAACTACACTGCTCAAAAAAATTAAAGGAACAAAGAAGTGTTTGCTTTTTCAAGATGTGTGTGACGTTTTACATGTTGTCTGTGTGTTTTGTGGTTTTGTGTGTAGAGTTTTGAGAAATGAAGCCATAGTTTCAAAAACTGTGTGTAAGCATTTTGAAAAAAACTGTAAAATAATCCTTATCAGCTCTTTTAAGCTGCTGTTGTAGCAGGAGTAGAGGCTTTACACTGTATTTAAAGTTTGGAACATTAGGTCTTCATTTCTGTCATGCTGTGTTTAAGCATCTGTAAAAAAGATAAGAATGAGCCATGATTTTGGTATGGGGTAAGCTTGTGTGAAAAAAAGAACATTTAAGCATTTTAGAAACCTGTTAATTGACAGAATAGTGTGTGAAAACAGCATGGACTGTGTTAATGGTATGGTCACAACAGACGGATGTTGTGCTAATTGTGTTTAGAGTTTTGGAAATGTGATTATAGATTGGACAAAGGGATGTTAGCAATTGAAAAAAACTGTAACGCGCATTTGCCAAAATGAATTCTGCCCTGCTGCTTAATGTGTCTGAATGGTTAAATTTGTTTTTAAAGCAAGGGACATGCAAAGAGTTCCTCAGGGGCAGGGGCTCATATGTATAAAAAAGGGGCATGCACTCCTTTATAAATCATAGCTATAACATCAACAAAAGAATCACTAAAACCAAACAATTTTAAAACATTTTTTAAAAATTGTTCAATTATGATGTCGAAAACTTTGTAAAAGTCATGATAAAGAATAAGACTTTGAGAGTGCACAGAGTGATCATAATCCAGCAAATCCAGGACTAATATTATTACATTCGGAGCAGGCTTTTAGAAATCTTGTCTGTGTGTTTTTATTTCTTTTTCTTATTTGTCTTTTAGAAATAATACAATCAAGATCACAATGAAGTGCTTAGACACTTTACATAACACTGCCATCTAGTGGCATATATGGGTTTAGGAATGAGAAAAATCCAGTTTCATTACCAATGGATAATGTATTCTTTATACAAATTAAGTACAGGGCCTTTCATAATAATAATCATAATAATAATACTAATAATAATAATTGAAAGGATTGCCTTGCAGGTTTCTTAACATGATCATTCTTTACATCATTCTTACAACATGATGATTCTCGCAACGTGGCATATTATTAAAGTAGGTATACCATACCAAGTTAGAAGCATAAAGGTCACCATGGAAATTGTGATAAAGATATCTAAATTGGATTCAATCTTTTTAAATAACACAATGATTAGGCTATTTTAAAGCACAAACGGAACGTTCCATAAAAGATCCTGTCTTTCCCGACAGATGTAAAGAAAAGCTAAACACAAACGAGTTTGCTCTGGAAGTGAAACTAAGAGTATGTCAGACTTCGTCACTGCGCATTTGGCTTGAGACAGCAGCGACAATAAAAATAGAAAGTGAAAGTGAAAGTCTTGTTGGCAAACAAACCCTCAAATGTTCGCGGAGCTCGTGCTTATATTAATATAACACAATAATGGATACATTCACCGGGAGAACTTCAGACAGGAGGGACACGCGTACAGAGGATCCCGTTCGCGGCAGTGAAAAGGTATGAATGATTCATTACGCGCTTGAGCTCCGGCAGCACGGTCAGCACAAGCGGGCATCTGTTCTAGGGCTCAGAAAGTGACTGCATGCTCTCTGATAGCATATAATCCCAGAAACCACACCTTACAGAAACAGATCGTTAGTTCATGCTTTAGAAGTTGTGTTACTTCAACCGTTCATTATTACCACATACATTTACGTTTCTGAGCGCTGCGCGTGGAGATCTAATACACTTCAGTTTACACCTTCCTGTTTAAAATATCGTAGAACGCACAATAAATATGAACATCAAAATTGTGCGTCATTTCACTGCGTTCTGACTCTATCAATCGCTTATAAACAAAACGGGTCTGCAGCTGGTTATTGGCAGTGTTGCCAACTCTCCAAGACAAATAAGCAAGCACAGCTTCAAAAACAAGCCCAATTTTATTAGATTATTTATTATCATAAATATTATTTATTATCAATTGATTATTATCAATAAATGAGCCTGCAACACAGTAAACTGAAACCACTCAAGAGTTTGAAGAGCAAAAACAGAAGTTATTTTTCAAAAATCATCAAATTGCAACAAAGCGGGAGGGCACACACTATCTGCGAGTAGAATAGTTTTGGAGATGGAATAGGAGAATATAACAAGACAAGAGCATTAAGGGGGAGCTTTAATATAGCCACATATTTAAACTCGAACCATATGTATCTACTAGTAGTATTACCAGGGCCGGTGTCTTCATTAGGGCGACGCACCACCAAACTGTGAAAGGGATTTTTTCTATCACATTCAGCCACAGCTGTCACTGTTCTAGGCTGTTTGTTCTACCTCTGGATATATAGTCCAATCAGAGTCAAGTCACGATGTGGAGTACCGCCCCTTTTTGGGCGATCTCTCTCTGGCCGAGAATCACCCGACTGTTCTCATAGACTTCCATACAATTATTTTTTTTGTTCGAGCTGCAGGCACTGCAGTGCAATCTCTATGAGTTCTGGGAGGGAACGTAACCTTAACTCGTGCAGCGACTGGTGGGAACAAACATACCTCTATTAATAAGAAATATGAAGTCAGGACTAGTCTGTATGGGCTGAATAAAGCAAACCAGTATTTTACCAGTGAAGTTTAGATGGAAGACGATCAGTGTTGGGCAAGTTACTCTGAAAATGTAATCAAATTACTGATTACTCATTTTAAAAGTAATCACGTTACTGTTCTGATTACTTTATTTCAAAAGTAATTAGTAATTAGTTACATTACTAGTTACGTTACTTTTTTCTCCATGAAATTTATGAAATCCCAGCATACACACTCCTGATAAGTATTTGTTATTAAAGCATCAACATTCACAGAACACTGTTATTTTTAACTAAAGCAAGCGGCTGCTGCGTGCATGGTTTGGCAGAATACCAGCAAAGAGCGCTGCATTTATAATCTCTAAAAGACATCTCAGGTCATCGCAATCTCACAAATCTCTGTTATAACACAATAAATATATGCATAATGAATCTGTCATAATGTCTACAATTCGTGTGTTATAATGAGAGGATTCGTGAGCACGCAGATTTCAGCACTGCATCGACGCTGCAAACACCTGTTATAGCCTAAATAGAAACTCTGCATATACTTGCACCTGTTAATCGTTTATATTGTATATTAGTTCATGTTGCTTTTGTGCAATAGATGAATAACAATTTATTTGTTTTAGATCTTTTATGTTTAGATATTTCCATTTTGCGGGAGTCCCGTGAATCATTTTATTCTCCCGCATCCCGCACACACATGAGTGTCTATAGATGCGGGAGAATAAAAAATATATAATATATATAAAATATATATATAATAAAATATATATGTATACCCGCCCGCAGCAGCACTCGCCCATCTTCTCTCGCGCCGCACTCTGTTGCGTCGGGTCTCGCGGGAGCAGGGCACTTGACTCGACAGTGCGTGAGCTACATCCTTTTTACAATCTCTAGATTATAAA